CGGTGAGGGGGTAGGGGTGAGTGGAGATGTGAGTTTGGCTGTAGGGGTGTTAGTGTATATGTTGGTCTATGGTTTACTTTTTTTGGAAACTGGGCCCCCCCCCCCCCCACACACACACCTCTAGTCCTCTTTTAGATATGCAACTAGCCGAATCGAACAAAATCTTAGCCAATCCGGATCGTCTTGCATCTAGCGACGTGTACAGTGCTTGTGATTCGTTTCTCGATTCTTTTCAATCAATTTACGAACTTTATTCTCTTCTTTGGAAAATAAATTCTTACTCAAAAAGTCTCGAAGCAATTTTCCTTTCGAGAAAAAAACTTGAACAAAATGCCAACTAAAGTAATTATTCCACTTTAACATCTATTCGATGATTCACCATAATTTGCTTATTTATTTCCTGATAAATATCAAATAGCATTCGAATTAATTATGTCTATAATGAAATATTTTTCATCACTTTAAATTTATTCGGTGACTTTTCAAATGAAATTACGATTGATTTAAATTCAGAACATCAACGAAAGATTTTAACAAATGAATTTCTTGGTGAACTTCATGTTTATATCGATGCACTTGAAAAAAGTATTGCATTATGACAATTTTTTCATTGTAGTAGGTCTATTTTACAGAAAGGGAAATTTTGAAATTTTTTTATTCCACAATTGAATTATAATCAATCAGAAATATAGAGAAAAGAATCTTGATCACAGCCATATGCTGGAAGTGCAATATTATTTTTGATTTAGTTGTACACAGAAGAATTTTTGGAATCGTTTCCTTGCAATGTTCATTAAGAAAAACGAGATTTACACTACTAAATCACGGATAATAATACATTTCCAGCATATCATTATGTGCAACATGTTTTCCTCTACCTTTCTGACCTACGATAGCAAAACCTTCCACGTTCTAGTTCTCTTTTCATATCAATATTAATGGAATCTCACTCTCAACGATCTTTTACTCGATTATCCTCATTTATCGTACATGCTATCGTTATCAATATCAATCATAAACAATTTATATCTCGATCTCTTCAATTCTCTTCTTCATAATCGAATATCTTCCTTTGATAAGCTTCTTCAATATCTAATTATTCTCCACAATCGAATTGGTCTAACAAAATCTTTAATCCAATCAATAAAATTTCTCTTTCAAAACAAACAATTTTAAGAAGAATTATTCTTCAATTCGAATCTAAACGTTTTCATCAAAACTTTTCCGATTTATCTTTATTCTCATTCGAGTTTCTCTGCCATGCCAACAGACTCAACGAAATAATCAAATTATTGCTCGAACTTTCAAATATAACTCTTTGTTATTTATTTATTAATACATTAATTCGTTTTATCTCAAAACCACGAGTATTTTCAAAACATATTTTATTATCAATACTTTGTTCTGGATGAATCATATTCAAACGATTGTTTATTTACTCTTGCTTATAATATCATCAAACGAATAAGCAAAAAATCATCAGATAATGAAATCATCTAATTCCAACGATAATTAAGATTTATCGAAAGAAAAAAAATCAAATTTTACCATTAACCTTTGTTTTAATTTATGAATTTTGTTTAAATATGTTGAATTATTATTCTTCAACGTCGTTAACTTCATCGTTAATGTTACTTCAATGAATGAAACATTGTTGATTTGTTTGTGTCAATTGTGTTCGAAATTACAAATGTTTTTAAATGATTCGAAAACTTTGACTTTGATTTATGATTTATCCGAAAATTTGGTATTGGATCATTGTGTTCGACACATATTAAGTAAATTTCCAATGTTATCAATGGAGTATAAATATGATCCATGTACTGGTCGAGAACAAGCATTGATTATTTCGAAATGTTCTCAAGAGCAAGAATTAAAATGATTGTATTTTCATTTAAGAAGATTATTGATCGAATTACATAAGATTTAATTTTTGTTTTTGGGCTTCTTTTTTTTATAGCGAAACTTTTTTTGTTGAAGATAAACGGAAGCTTTTGGTGAAAATAGTACATTAGAAATTAAGATTTATTATTTGATTTCGAATTCTATGAAAATAAAGATATCAAGGACATGGTCAAGTGTTAGAACGAAAGAACTGTGGTTCTATGTTCTTTTAACCCGAACCTCGGTGTGGATGTGGGTGAGAGGGTGCTGGTGAAGATAAAACACACCCACGCCTACATCCTGCTTATTGAGATCTATCTGTCCTGAGAATTTCATAATTTTTCGTCGAACCGTTTTTGAAAATCTCCGGAAAGGAAGAGAGGAAGACTCCCCTTACGTAAGGTAGCCTTAAAACATTTTCAATTTGATTGAATAATGCAGAAATCGATATGGAAGCATATTCACAAAAATTGTCTTTGCCGGTTGCAAAAGATGTAAAAAATAAAACATAAATTCATGATTTAATGTCTACTTCAAAATTCTATCAGCGTGTATTTGAATTGAAAAATATCATAAATTTTTCATCTATTCTGTTTTATTGCTGCATTCGAGAAGGATAAAAAGAAGTAAATTGTTAAAAAAAAATGAAATATTGACGAATTCCCAACAGTCCCATGCCTTATCCAACATTTTCTATATTATGAATTTTGCCATTTTTACACTTTGACATTTCGTATATTCAATATTTCTCATTGTCCAGATTTTATCCCTTTGACACTTTTACTCTTTGATGTGTTACCGATTTCCTTTTAGATGTTGACTCTTCAGAGGTATGTGACAAATTATTCAAAAAAAAAAACTTGAATATTGTGACGAATTCATCGGTCATGTATTCATAGCTGTTAGCTCTTTCACTCTGTATCATCATTGCTTCTATTGTGTTCTTCTGTTTCTTTCTCTCTCTCTCTTTCGTGTGCACATATAAACGTCTATGTTGGCATATTACTCATCAACCATTTTTAGCTCATTGCTCCACCGTTCTTTTGTTATGTTGCTTCCATCAATAGAGTAAAGAATTAACCAGACAAGCCTAATAAATATTCAGTATAGTGGAGCGAAATTTGGTTTTTATTTTAAGGTATTATTTAATTTAATGCAATTAAATTGTTTAGAAAAAAAAATCACAAATAGTATGATATTTGTATTAGAATTCTTTGATTGTATTTTCAATGCTGCTTTTATATTTATTGAAAATTATCTCAAAGAAGGCTAAAATTCTGAATTTCTATACCCTTTAACATGCGCTTTCATCAATGAATTTCGTTAGGAAAATCATACAATGAACTATCCATATCTAATGGATAGTAGTCGAATTATTTTATTCAATGAAACAAAATACGATAATATTATGCGTTGGATTTTCTTTTTTCTCTCTCTCTTTCTTTCCTATGTATACGTGTGTTAGTCAGCCAATTATTTTTAACATTTTTCGTCCATAATGAGAGCCGTCATATCTCAACGAATATTGCAGATATAAACATTCTTATTTCTTTATTTTTTTTTTGTTTTTCAGAAATGCCCGAAATAGGTTCATGTACTGATATAACATGTGATGATGAAATTAAAGAATTATATGAATGTCATTGTTGCTTACGTCTTGTTTGTTTATATCATTTGAATGGACATGTTGAAATAACAAAACAAAATAAACAACGACAACTATACAATCTTCGTAATGAATTAAATACAGTTGTAAATACACTTAAATTAATTGTTGAAGAAAAATTATTAACTATTGAACGTGAACAAAATTTGATTGAACAAGCAAAAAAATTTCTTGATGTACCTAGTAGTTCAATTGATGAACTGCAAAATATTTTCGAAAAAATTAATCAAACAATAGCATCAAATCGTTCAGGTAAAAACTAAATTAGATAATTATTTTTTTTTTTTTTGTATATCTTTCTTTTCTTTGTTTGTTAAAGAAGAAATCATGCTGAAAGTTGAACCATCATTATTAGAAACTAAATGTTGTTCTGATGTTTGCAAATGTAATAAGGAAAACAAGAATCCAAATAGTAAGATAAAATCTCTTTCTAAAATCTTTTTTTTTTTTTCGTTTCATTCTATTTATTCTTGTTTGTTTCGGTCAAATCATAGATATTGATGTCTAACGAAGGAGCTAACAGAAGTTATTAATCACCATTTGAACTCATATTGACACTAGCAAGATTTCTTAGTAAAAGTAGCTGCAGTTAATCAGCCAAGTCATGACTGTTCTACCAAATTTTCGATGTGCAAATGTCCATAGATATTGCATCTCTTGGTAAATTTGATTTTTGTCAGTGCCTATTGAATACAAATTTGATATCTCGATGAATGAACATCTGTTTTTTATTTCGCTTAAGATCTCAAATTTTTGACTTAATCAATCAATGGATGGAATTCGGTTAATTTATTATCGAATAAATACTGAACAATGGGTCGAAAATTCATTCAATCCGTTCATAGGTACGATTCATTTCAAGCCTTTTCTACTCTTAGCAAGTTTTTATTGTTGGTCTAATATGGGTTCAAATCGTAGAGATCAGTTTATGTAGTTCTTTCGTAGGATAAAAAGAAAGCCTTCAAAATATAAGTTTTTTGTATGTTTAGATGTAGCAGAAGAATCGAGAATCTCAAAAGGTAAGTTAAATTTTCTTTAACTTCAAAAAAAGAGAAACAAACATTATTGATTTCAGATGATGAATATGCAACGGATATCAATCATAATTTTGTTGATATCATTTCAGTTGGGTAAGTTTCTTTTTTACTGAAAAAAAAAAGATTTGACACCGATTGCATATTTTTCTTTTTTTAGTGAACCGGCAGAATCTATTCAGGTAAATATAATTATATCCATGAAAGTGTTGATAAAATCACGTTTTGAATTGAAATATGTCAAATATTGCCATGTCGTATTTAATTATTCATTAAACATAACAATATAATTATTTGTTTTTAACAGATAATATTAAAAAGAAACAATAATAAACATGTTCAAAATAATGTTATTATATAAATACGAAAGTGAATTCCAAAAGGATCCGAGTCGACAGATTGGATTCTGTATTACCGCAGAAGAACGAGATTTTCTGCAAATTAGGTTAGTTGTATTTGATTCTCCTTGCAGATTAGTACTCGATATAAACCGTGTACATATTCTATCTATCCAGACTTGCCAAAGCTTTTTGACAGTGGAAAGGCCTCGCAGCGGTCCTGATTTCCTGATTTTTTGTAGTCGTCCTGATTCATCTTGATTTTGGTACAAGATCCTGATTTCCTGATTTTTGGTGCTTTTCGAAACTAAATAATTTCTCTAGAAAATTTCGGTTTAGTCTCAGTGTAGGCGTTTCAGAAATTCTGTCTTAAATTGATGAAGATACTATTTTTTCAATGATCGCGTTGTTCATCTTGTTTGAAGAATAGATGAAATTCTTTATGAACTAAAAAAAATGTCGGTGAATATATGAAAAAATTCATCTGTTTTTTTTTTTACAAGATTCATACAAAATCTTGTATCATTATTCAGTAAGAAAAAAAAAAAGAAAAGACAGGCACAAGTTAGTTAGTTAATAGATCTGGAAGTCGAGAGTCCGATGAATAATCAACTCTCTTCGTTGGATTACCGTCGACGAATCTCATGAATGAACTTCTCAAGATGTCCCCTTGCTTTTGACCTGATATTTTGGCTATATCTTGGGACCTCTGGACTAGAATAACCTTAAGTTGGCTTACTTGCCTGGCCATTTGAGCTTGATTTATCATGGATTCTGGACTTATGACACTAGGTTATCTGGAACAGCAAATATGTGGA